CAAATATAGGAGATTTTATTACTTTACCGATCAGAAATCTTCCCAATTTCACCACCAAGGGCATCCACTTCGTGTACAAGTTGAGACTTTGCTGGTCCACCAACTGCTGGGTTGCAGGGCTGCATCAAACATTTTTCATTAAGAAGCTCTGTAAATGATCTGTGTCATGATTCTAAGCACCTAAACCATTTTGCATGCAGTAACATGATCACACCTCTATTTGTGTGTGTGTGTGTGGTGGAGAGAGAGAGAGAGAGAGAGAGAGAGAGAGAGGGGAGAGAGAATACAATATCAAATCTAAAGGTGAGGAATTGAGAATAATTGAATAAATTAGTGGAAAGCTGACTCCCAGTTTTAGAGGAATTATAAGGTTAAAATCAAAATGAAAATTAATTTTACATATCTAATTTTGAGAAATACAACAAAACTTCTAAATACAACAAAAAAAAATATGAGGTTATCAAGAAAAAGCAGAATTAAACCTGCCAAGCAATTCTATCAATATTTAGGGTGAGTAGAAGAGTTTTCGCCCCTAAATGAGCAGATGCTAGGGCAGCTTCACAGCCTGCATGTCCTCCTCCGACCACAATGACATCATATCTTTCATCATGTATCCCATCATCACTTAGACCTGTGAAATTGTGAACGATAGAGTGATTGAATTTCACCTTCAGTATTCATTGTGAATGGTAAAGGCCAAAACTTGAAAAATCAAGGCCAATGTAAAACCCACACATGTTAAAAAAAGACCATCTCATGCTATTTATTTAAGGTTAAGAGATTGGAACAAAAAAATAAGAGGCTAGGTAACAACTAGACTAACTCTCCTCTTCAATTTATCATTATTATTAAAAATAACTATACTAATAATAATGACACTTTTATTAAAAATATATGGGTAATTATTAGAATTCTAAATTTTTTGGGTTTATTTACTCTTAAATAGCAATATAGCATATACAATAATTTATTTAGAATATGTGCATTTTAGTAAACAGAATGGTTTCTTTCCGATTGACTCTACCCCATTCAACCTTTTTCTCAATTACCTTGCTCCGATTCTGATTCCGATTACGGATTAGTAAATGAGCCATAATGATATTCCAAATTGAGCGGGTCCCAAATAAAAGTTGTAGGTCCACAAAACAAATACAATACCTCTACATGGCCAGAAGAAGAAAAAACAGGCAAAAGAAAGACCACCTCATGCTATTTGTTCATGCAGATACATATTCAGGAGAATCATTTGTTCCAAACCACCTCATGTTATTTGTTCAAGGCATCCTACTGGTTGTTTGTTGAATTTAATTTAAAGGCTGACAGGTACTGTAAATGCGGGATTTTGATATGACATCACCAGCTTGTCTAGATTATGTAGTCGAAGCTGGTAAGCGTTGATGGTTTCGTTGCAGTTATATTTGCCTCAGAGAAGAGTGAGGGCAGAGTGAAAAAGAGTATGAGAGTTTGAAAAGCTTGTGAGCAAATTTTGGTTTAGAGAGAACTTGTCCCTACGAAATCATCTTTGTAAGCGAAGGGAGCAGAAAAGCTCATATACTCTAGCAAGATATTCTATATTCCCAAATATGGGATGAAGGCACCTTTTCTTCCACCTTTCCTATCCAATTCTCGATCAAGCTTATGTTCCCATGCTCTCATCTTAGGACTTTCCTATAGAAATTTTACTCCAACCCTACTCTCTACATAGTTACAATGACTATTAACCAATAAAAGTTATTAAAACAGTAGTGATTAATGCCCTTAGGAGCTCATTTTGAATCCCAGATTTAGGAGCTCCGAGCGGTTTTGCTATCCTAGGAGAACGATAGGAGTGTGATTGCAGACGAATTTTTCCAAATCCTGACTAAATCTTAGTTAGGAGTTCATGCAGGGAGCCCATTGGAGATGCTCGACGCAGATTATTCTGCTACACAAATAGAGATTGCATATCACATAATGCTCAACCAACGCAGAGAGAGACCGTTAACTGCATAAAGTACACTATTTTTGCAAATTGATGTGAATTACTGAGAGGCACGGGACATGTTCGACAAAATTACTGACTGACAAAGAGAAAGAAGCACAAACTCATTGGAGTCGTACCTGGGCCGGTCGAGGCGGCAACAGAGAATCGGCGGGAAAAGTTGGAGGTGGAGAAGGAACGGGTGCGGCGGAAGGGCAGGTCAGGCAGCCTGAGAAGGAGTCGAGCACGAGGAAAGTGAAAAGGAGTCGGGAGAGGAGAAGAAGAGAAAGGGAAGTGGCGGGCGAGGCGAGAGAGATGAAGCGTCAGTGCTGGCGTGGTCGCCATTGCTGAATTTTAGAGAGCTGCTTCACTCTCGCTTTTTCTTATTTGTGACTTGTGAGAGATGAAGCAGATAAAATTATGAAACAAGCAAAGCAGACAAAATCGCCATTCAGTTTTTGGGTTGGTCCATATTGAAAAATTGAATATTCTTCGGCAGATATCTACAGAAAATATGACAAAATCTCATTGTATACCTGCTGAAAATTTGACAAAAAAATATATTTATTTTTAATTATTTATTATATTTTAAAATATTATTTGAATTTGTTTACATTTCATAATTTGTGGAACATTAAATGCATGGGTTAAATAATGCTAAGGACCTCGGTCAAAATATTTAAACAAACAAAGTTTCAGTCCAACAATTAGGTTGATTAGGGATCGGAACCAAAATGATCCTATAATTATTATGTAACAAACAAAGCTTCGTAACTCAATCGTTTCTTAACCAAATTTGACCCATAATACATCAAAATGACGATAGGAAAATGTAGAATAAGATTATACCCATTTGGAAGCCCAATGGTTGCCGGTGATGGTCGGAAAATAGCCTCAAAGTTGACTGGTTCGAGGGAAAACTGGAAAACTCATCGGAAATTGGGTAAACTTTAAATGTTCATAACTTCTTCAATACTTAACGAAATCAAGTGATTCAAAAACAAAAATCATATTTCTCAACGAGACGAAGAGAATGGTACCATTTTTTATGGCTAACTCGCTGTGTTTTGGCTGAAAAACGGCTCAAAAGTGGCTACCTCGAAACCAAGACAGCCACTTTCGAGCCATTTTTCGGCCAAACCACGGTGATTTAGCTGCTGAAAAAGATATCATTCTCTTCGTCTCATTGAGAAGTATGATTTTTGTTTTTTAATCACTTGATTTCATTGAGTATTGAAGAAGTTATGAATGTTTAAAGTTTACCCAGTTTCCGGGGGTTTTCATTTTTCCCTTGGACCAGTCAACTTTGAGGCTATTTTCTGACCATCTCCGGCAACCATTGGGCTTCCAAAATGGTATAATCTTATTCTACACTTTCCTATCTTCATTTTGATATATTATGGGTCGAATTTGGTAAAGAAACGATTGAGTTACAAAGCTTTGAAAATTGCCCAAACTTTCGGGTAAGAGCTCCGGGACACTTAACGGAGTTTTTAACGGAATGACCAAAATGATGGATAGTGGATAATTTCAGGGACCACTTCTATTGATTTGAAATCTCAGGGACCAAAGTGAGGAGTTATGCAAATCTCATGGATCATTTTAGCTAAAAAGCCTATTGAAAAATAAATGGTGTATTATTCGGTAGATACCTACCGAATCTCTTAGAAATTTCAGTGGGTCCCTGCTGAAAATTTGAATAGTTGCATTTGTTGCTCAATCTTTGCTTTAAGCCTACTGAAAATACACACAACTTTAAGCCTACTGAAAATACACACAACTTCCGTAGGTACTTGCTGAAATTTATACACTTTTGGTAGTTTTCCTAATGAAATATTATACAGTTACCGGTAACAACTTCTTGCCAAATCTTAAATTGAGTATTTACCTGCCGAAAATATGAACAAATTCGACACTTAGAGTAAGTATAAAAGCTTTAACCACAACGCTATCTACCACTTGCATATTGAGATATATATTTTTAATTTAAAAGTTGTGAGATGTGTTTAACCACCTTTGAAGATATTACATTGATTTTTAGCTAATATGGGAATAAAAGAAGTCTTTGAAGGTGAGATGTGGGGCCTGTTTTTGAGTTTGAAAATAGCTTTGGATAAGGGTGTTAGGAGGATACTTGTGAAATTTGACTCTATTGTTTTAGTTCACTTTTCAAGTGTTGTGCATGATTTGCATCTCTTGGCTTCATTATTATATGGTTGTCATCACTTGATTTCTCAATTTGATCAATGTGATTTAAATCATATTTATAGGGAAAGGAATATATTGGCGGATGGTTTGGCAAAGATGAGTTTTTCTTTGGACTTGAGCTGTATTATGTTGGATGACCCTCTTCGTTCAATTGTTAATTTTCTTATAAATGATACTTCAAGGTTGTTAGGAATCAAGCTGTTTGTGTGAGTTCTTTGGGCTGATGTTTTTCTTTGTTTAGCGACTATGCTTGGGCTTTGGGCTACTTTGTAACCAACAAAAAAATAATTAACTTGATCTTTTATTAGTCACTTTGGGGATAATTTGTTACTGAAAAAAAATAAAATTAGACGAGGACTATCTTAATTATATGAGATCACAGTCTTAGCCTTACAAAGAGCTAGATAATGTGGTTCAAATTCGCCTTTGGCGAGAATCGAACCTAAGACCTCTTAGGTACAAGTGAAGAGGAATACCACTAGACCGTAATATTAAGTGGCAAATTAAGCACTTGTTTAAATATTCTTAGAAATTAAGGACTTGTTATTTAATACGTCGATCAACAAACATCATGGGGAAATGTACATCCTCAACATCGATCGTCTTCCTTTTAACAACAAAAATTATGAAGAATAAAAACAGAAACGAAATCATTTTGTAATTAACTTATCGAGCTTAATTCATGTCTAGCTTTGTTAGCTAGCTAGGCCGAAGCATGCTGCTGCCTCGCGCATCTTGAACGATCAGCACTGCATCGGTCGGTCTTAACGAATTAAACAAATTTATTCGACTTTGCAGGCTTCTTGACATTCATGAACTTTTTCACATGGAATTAATATCTGTCATTGGAATCCAGATAATGATAACATTGATAATTCGGAGCTGCCGGAGCATCCGTTTCTTGTTCAGCACGATTAGAAAAAGCTTGGGCTGGTGGAACAAAATTATAGGGCTGTTGAACTTGAACCGGCCTAAGAGCTGCTGGATTCACCAAATTACGATAGTCCGGATCATCATCCTGAAAATGCAGATTGTCTTCAATCCGCCGGTTTGTATGATCCTGCAACAACTGATCCTTGCAAACTGCGAGATGTGTTCTAACATGATAAAGCTCTTTCATTGCTTCTTGCAACTGGAAATTTAATTGGTTTATGATTCCCAAACAGCCGGTAACAGGAAACTTTGCGCGCATATCGGACTCGTATACAATAGACTGCACTGCGTCTGTTTTCTGCTGAGGGTCATGAATTTGTTTAAGAATTGTCTTAATATTACTCACGCCGTACAAACGATGTGCGTTCCGAAACGTTTGGGGCTTACTAGCGGGGAAATGTGGAGCGAGAGGGCAGTCTTGGGCGCACTTCTTTCTCTGGTGTTTGCATGCTGCACAAGCCTGACCTGCACTGCCTCCTCCTTTCGCTGGCATTGTAGGGAAACCGAAAAACGTACGTCCAAAAACTGATGCAGGAATTAGTACAATGCAGAGATACAAGGTGATAGGGACTGCTGCAGCTGAAGTTATCGAATATGGCGCGGGCTTCATCGATCAGAAAATGAAGAATTGAAGGTTTGATTGTGATTGATGTTGTTGAATGATGAGAGCATGGACTGGAACTGAGAGAGATATGGATATTTAAGAGATAATATTTAAATTCAAATTGTGTAAATTTATTAAGATTTGAATTTGAATTTCATTGAAAATTAATTAGTAGATGTTGTTGGTTAGCTGTAAAGTATCTACAAGAGTCGTATATATGCAAATTACCAGGTTAAAATTAACTTCCAACCAACAAAAACAAAATTATAATTAAGTTGAAATTTTAAACGCGATTAGTTCATAAAAACCTCAGTAGAACTCCATGTATATAACTAAACTCTTTGACTCACAATTTGTTACTGACTTTGAACATATAAATTAACAAAAAAGGGTTTATGAGCCCTAGCCCTGTAAGCTCACACCGGCGCTCAGGAAATACTTTTCAGCTCCCAAATGCGCTTGCCAGCATGAATCAAGCACAATTATTGTCCAGCACCGACTGCTCCCTTCAATCCCCAAAATTAGACCCAGTTTTCAGTAGAAGTCAGAGGAACAACTGAAGTAGGCATGAATCAAGCGCAATTTATAATCCAGGCCTGACTGCTCCCTTCATTTCCCAAAATCAGAATCTGTTTTTGACAGAAGTCGCCGGAACAACTGAGGTACTTGAGGTTGTGCCAAAACAGATAGCATCAGGCAATGTATCCAATGCAGAAACATTTCCAGCAATGGTGGAAGGCAGTAGCTGGAGCTGCAGCAGGAGAGGCTCTCTCAGCTAGTTCAAACATTAACCAACCCATGTTGGAGTATGCTGATTTGTTGAAAATGCTTGAAGAAGATCCAGAGGAGTTCAGCTGGTTTGACAGGGCACCAAATGTAGGTGATGCTGCCGACCATTACTTCCAACTGATAACGGAAACTTTACTTGAAAATTGCCCGTATCCTCATCCGCTATAATTTATCAATTCCAAAAAGTATTTTCTTGTTCAAAGGTTTCACTGTTTGAAACATTGATACTGTTGTCTTCCTCGCCGAAGAAGGTTCTTCGAATTCTTGGTCTGGTGTGGCCGAGCGAGTAATGGCCACTAAAGCCATCAGCATCGCTAGCTGAAACAAAACCTTGAGGGATTTCATGTGATCTAGTTGTGATTGGAAAAGAAGAATATAGAGTATTTGATGTTGAAAATTATGAATATATAGTTTGGATGGATAAGCATGCAGGGCTTGAACACGTATATATATTATATATATATATGTAGGGGATGGTGCATGAGGTTTGTCATACAAACATCATGAACGCGGGGAATATTGCATGGTTGGTATAATATTCAAAAAGGCCATTAGCAAAATGTCATAATTCAGTAAACAAATGTAGGCTTCCAGAAAAAATTGTAACTTGTATATATTATCTCAAAATTAATTAGGTCAATTTGAACCACATTATTTCTTAGCCTACTTCCCCATCCTTAGTATAAAATACTACATAATGTCGTTTATTAAAAAAAGCCGTGACAATTCAATTACTTTGTAAAGAAAGATGAGTAATTAAGGAAAAATTGTACCAACCCTCAAAAGGCTTAAACGTTGTTAGCAATGCCGATTACTAAAAGCCATCTTGCACACATATTTAGTGAAAAAATAATAAAGGAGGAGTAAATTATGTCTAAACTGTTTATAGGTAGCAACTCTCACTTAAACAAAAACAATTCTCACTTAAACAAAGCATTTAAAAAAATGTGACATTATTCTTTAATTGAATATATTTCAAAAAAAAAAAAAAGAACTTTTTCTGTAACACTTCAATGGTAATTTCTACCCCACACTTAGTTATAGCGCATTATACATATTCGATAACAACTAGATAGCTATAGAGAGTGTTAGCAGTTAAGAGCAAGTCCACCCTTAAGGATTTTGTGCCAGCACCCAGCGCATTTATCCACTCAAATGAACAGTAATAGACTCCATTGAACAGTAATAGGCCAAAGCATCTCCACCCCTAACCAAAAATAGCCTAGTCCATTTTATTAAAATTTTATTTTTTATTTTTTTATAAAATAATAATTTTATTTTTAATTTCTGAATTTATAAAAAATAATAATAATAATAATATCTCAAATTTATTAAAAAGTTTCTGTATTTTTTAAAAGTGAATTCTTAATTTTTTGGGAGAAAAAACGTGGACCGTTGATCTGTGATCGGACGGTCCAGTTTAAAAGTGAAATTCAATTTTTTTTTACCGTTGAAAATCCAACAGTCTAGAATAACTAGCCGTTGGAAATCCAACGGCTGAAAATGGGCCACGTCACCGAGCCCAGGTTGTGGTCTGAGTGCGCCTGCGCGCGGGCCCCACCACCTGATTTCTTGTCTCCTACTCGCACCCACGCGAGCTTGAAGGCCACTCGCCAGTGCAAAAAAACAAACAGGCCAGTCCCTTAGTCAGTCAAAAATGGGCTGGGCTAGAGACTGGCATGGGTTGGGTGCCAGTCAATTGGGTCGGTTTGAGCAAATTCACTAGGTCCTGGCCTATTTTTTCGGCTGGGTGTTGGGCAAAAAGTCCTCCAGTGGACTTGCTCTAAGTATCATTTTGACCAAACTAATTTTAATTTAATTTTTTGGGCATATGCTGTTTTAACTAGTTTTATTCGGGTTTCCCATTTTCTTGAAAGAAAAAGTTGTCCCACCAACTGGCTAGGCTAGTGTCTCATTGTTCGATCATATCCTGTGCGCCGATATAGATATGATCTCATCCAATTAGATGCCCGGCTGGCTTTTTCTTTACAAATTAAATTCCTTCTAGGTCACTTAGTACTACAGTCTAGTGCAATGATGGAGCCACTTGAGGACCAAGAAAGGTCTTGGCCCACCCTGAAATTTTTCATTTTGTAATTTTTGTTTATATACTTTTAGTTGGATACTTTGCATTCTTCGACTTATGTGTGTTTGCTCACAGCTAGCTTTATTGTGTTTCGTTAATTGACAAAAGAAAATATGTTTTACAAGTATTGTTATGAAACTAAAGACATATATCAACCAGCCTTCCTTAGTTAGTTCACTAATTTGCATGGTACAATGTTGTTTTACAGTGAAATTACGCATAAATAGAATAGAGGAAGAATTTATCTTGAAAAACAATTTTCATAGCTGCAGTTTTGAGCCGTGGTTATTAATTTTTGTTCAACTTCATTATAGGAACTTATAAACAAGTTTGGTGCTTACGATACAATTATCTCAAAAAAAAAAAAAATCGTGATTTCATTACTCTCTTTTGATTAAATTTTTCATTCCACTATAAAAAATGAACCTTTTTCTCCCATTATTTATTTATTGTTTTTCAATTTCTTTCATAGGGCTTAGAGGCCCCTCCTAGCTTCAATTTCTAACTTCACCATTGGTCTAGTGGTACTCTTCTTCACTTGTAAGTTAAAGGTCTTAGGCCATCTTCAACTAAAGGGTCCAGAGGGCTGAAAATAGCCTTAAAACCGTCTCCAACCGAGGACCAGGTCAAATGGCTCGTGGGCCCCACTGGACAAAAAAGGGCCAAATGGCCAACCAGCCTCGAGCCGGGCTAAAAAATTTGAATCTCAATGGCTAGCTGATGTCAGCTAGTCGTCATGTATTTTTTTTCTTTTACAGTTTTTTTTTTTTTTTTTTTTTTGCCAAAAATTAAAAAGAACATTTAATTAAGGCCCAAAAAGGTGATTGGTTCTATATGGGGATGTTGCTTTTATAAGCATGTTTGATTGCTCAAACCTCTCCCATAGCTGACGTGGGACAAATATAATGGGTGCCACACATGCAAGCTTTTGCTTGCTCAATTCTCTCCCGATGTGGGACAAATATAATGGGTGCCCCAAATATAAGCTTCCTATTAGAGATGGTAAATGTGCATTTAATTTAAGTTGTAGTTTTTAAATTTAAATAATATGTTTGGCCCTTGGTTAGAGATGGTAAGAAATATGGTCATGCACTGTTCATTAAAATATTAATTTCTTGGAGGGCCAGAGGGCTAAAACAAGCCATCTGGCCCTCCAAGAAATTAATATTTTAATGAACAGTGCATGACCATATTTCTTACTATCTCCAACCGAGGGCCAAACATAATTTATTATTTAAATTTAAAAACTACAACAACTTAAATTTAATAACTACAAAAACTCAAATTTAAAGTTCATAATCATCATCATCATCCGCTATTGTAGGAGTATAGTCAGAGGTAAACAACTATTGTCGGGTCATAATTTCCTCTCATTTTTCTATCAAAATAGGCCTTACGTACCCATTGGAGTGTAATTCAAAGTGTTTCTTTTCATATTCTTATCATCCATCTCATCTCTTCTTGTATTTGTTTGGCCCGTTCATCATGCCTACGGTTCCTTTCTTCCACGGCAATGACATTTTGCTCCGCCATTAATCACAATGATGTTGCCACTTCCTGTTGAGCAGCATAATCATCATTTGCCTTACCCTTTTCCTTCAACCTTCGGGTCTTGTTTCGTCCTATAGCCCTAGGTATGGAACCTTCACCTGAAGATGGATTTTCTACCCTTATTTGTTGAATAGTAGGAGATCCATCTTCATCCACATCTACAGCTGAGGATGCAGTTCCAAACACCGGCGTAGGACCTACTTTATGTTGAGGTGAATCTTCAAATAACACCCACCCTTTACAAATTTACCAATAATCGGGATGCTGAAAGGGTTTCGAGCTGCCCTCCATATACAATTCCTCCGCTTGGCGTACCTAGAAAATATAATTACAAAATTAAAGGAAATTAATTTATGAAATTAAATGTAATATAATTAAATATTTAAAATAAATTGTGAAAACACTTACTTCATCGTAGAAATTGGCACCGCTTTCATGTCTACTTGCGCCTGCTAACAGTGCTTGATGCCATTTGTTCAAACTTGGATGAAGATGTTTCTTCCATCTTGAAGAACAACTCTCGTGGTTTCGAATATTCGGTGGAGTGGTGCATTCATACAACTCATAGTATTTTTTGGAC